CTTCGTGTCAACAATGTAGTCGGTGTACCAAGTGATACATACTTCGGTGTTTGTAGCGATATTGTAAAATAGGCATGAGTTTCCAATCAAATCCCACCACATTGTCACATAAATACCTTCATTTCAATTTTTACCATAGGCTCATTTTTTATTTTTTTTTTAATTAGTCCATCAATAAAAAAACTAATTACAAGTATAAAAAATATTATATTATTAATAATGAACAAATTATTGTTTCACATCAGTTAGTAAGTTTATAAAACTTATCTAACGACCATAATGTGAGAGAAATAAATACCACCACAAATTTATCAAACTTCTCTTAATAAGAGTTAAATCTAAGACCTTACACCACAAAGGATGTGTTACACAATTACTAGATCAAAAACTCAAATTCACCATAGTCTAATTAACTTAATATCATTTTGCTAGATAATTGAATTACCAGTGAATATTAAAGAAAGGAGATTTTTTTTTTGGAGGACTAAGAACTGCATAATATTAACCATACTCCAACCTTAATTTCTTTTAGTCCACAAGGACAACTACAATATGAAAGGCTATATTATTCTCACTTATTTGTCTATATGTCGATCTATTTGTCCACAAATGGTCGCCGATGATGACTCCCATGACTTTTTCAGGAAATTTTCCAATGGCAATAGCTTTTCCAACTAGTCGCCAATGGCAAACGGTAGACAGCAATTGATAATAGTATGAGAAAAAATAAAGAATTTAAAGATAAAAAATATATATATATATATATATATATCGGTATATATATATATATATATATATATATATGTGCAGAGACGTCTTTTGCAATGCTTTTCCTTTGAACTTTTGATGTCAATACTAATAATACAGAAAAAATGTTAAATCTTTTCATAATTTGTAAAACTAAAAAGTAATAATGAATCATAATCAAACAGCACATAAAATATAACTAATATCACAATGAATTAAAATCAAATTATAACTAATATCATAATAGATTATAATTAAATATCATAAATATCATAGCTGGAGTTTATATAATAGAATTTATACATTCTTAAAAACAAAGAGTTATAGTTCACATTAATACATTTCATTAATCATGTTTTTAAAATCAAAATAAGAGTAGACCCCTTATACCCTAGGACTTCTGATTAATTTTTTTCTTATTTTTTAAAAGGTGGAATAAAACAAAACAACAAAAGAAAAATGCATTTAAATTGGGGGATTTTAAATTGAATGCAGAACAGAGCCCCTGGGGAAGAAGACAAGAAAGAAGCAAACCGCTTCAAAGTTTTTTGGTAGCTACTACCCTGGAAAAGTGAAACTGATTTCCTCCTCCTCACAAATCCAAATCTTTTTGATCGGCAAAAGTGGTCGCCAATTGTCTAAATTCTTGTAGTGTCTGCTACACACACGCGCAATTATATATTGATTGATCAACAATATCCATTCCTGAGTTTGAGGACTCTACTCTATTTGGATTTTGAAATTTTCTTTGAGACAAAAAGACAGGGTAAAATTTTATTCTTATCATCCCATAATTGTATTTGATTTTAAGTTTTCAAAAATAACTTTTTTTCGTATAAATTTTTTAGAGAGAAAAAATTTAGGATTTGATCCTAGAACAAATTAAACTCTAATTTTTTTAATTATTTTAATTTACACTCCCAACTTTTAAAATGATATCAATTTTAATCATATACTTTTTATAATTAAGTTCAACGGTAGCAGTGGCGGAATTAAGCAGCAGAAACGATGACAGAAATTGTGGATGTAGACTTTATTTTAATGTAGATCTTATTTTTTCAAACCCCATCTGTGAGACGATTGATAATTTTCCCAAAACCTTTAACTAGTTTTTTAATGGCTTTATAGTTTGTTGTTCGTAGTTCTTGTAAAAAAAATTGTTTGGCCCTTTAGGACTTTATTGTTTTTCTTTTTCTTATTCAATATGTTGTTTACTTTTTTTTAAATATAACTACATTATAAATTTTCTCAAAAAAATAAAATAAAATAATGAATACAAATGAATAATTAGAAATTAATACTATTGTAAAAGCTCAGAATTAAAATTAAACAATTAAAAAGTCAAAATTTGATTTGTTACCAATGTCAACATTAATTTATTTTTATTTTTATTTTTTTTTTGTAATTTCTCCAATTTTGTTTTTTTTTTTTTTTTTTTTTTTTTTTTAACACCTAAGCTGAATGAAATGAAAAAAGTAACATATCTATAAAAAATTATAACAAATACAAAAAATAGAAAAAGTACTTATTTTTTTTTATATTTTTTTGTATTTAGTAAAAAAAATTTAATTTCACAAATATTATATCTTATAACGATGTCTTGATTAAGTGAACTTAAAAAGTAATTAAATTACATAAAATATTAAAAAAAGAATTGTCTAAAAACAAAAATGGAAAATTTCAATTTACCTCTTGTGGTTTGGTTTATGTGCAGATTACCCCCTCTCATTTGAAAATAAAAGGTTGCAATTTACCCCTACCTTTTTACTTACCCCGCCCCTCTCTCCCAAAACTTCTTTGAACCCCCACCAAGCAAAATGAGTTCTCTCCATGTTTTCTTGGAACCCCTACCTTAATACCAACTATACCCTTAATCCCAAACCCAAACAGTAGCCCGTAACCCTAAACCCAAACCCCAACCCTAACCCTAATCCCATTCCCACCAACTCTGGCAACCATCATCGCTATCTCTGGTGGCCAATCCGCAACCCTTTGTCGCCCCTTTCTCTGCTTATTCTCTTCTCTTCTTTTCTCTTCCCATTCGTACCATTGCCGACAACCCCCTTTCTCCAATGGCGACCTCTCTTAGTCACTTTCACCGCCCTCTCTCCCCTCTCTCGTGTATCACCCTATGCTCCATCGCAACTTACCCATGTCGTCGTCCCTACTAGCCCATCACCTTTCACCATCGCGCGTCGTATCTCGCTATCGTGACCCAACCATGTCATTGCCCCTGCTTGCCTCTCGTCATTGCGATCTAACCATCTCGAATCAAATTTGAAGAGAAGAGAGGGACAAAGGAAAAAGAAGAATAAGAGGGCTACGGTTAGGGTTTAGATTTAGGGTTAGGGTTTTAGAAGAAAATGAGGAAGATGAGTGGGACGGTGATGGCAACGGCGATGGTGGAAAAAAGAAAGAAGAGGAAAAGAAGAGTGTTGCAATGATGGCGGTGGTTGGGGGTGACGGGAAGGTGAACAACTGATGTGCCGAAGGTGATGAAATTAGGGTTAGGGTTTGGGAAATTAGGGCTAGAGGGTTAAGGATGAGGGTAGAAATGAAATTTTATCTTTGGACAAAATTGGAATTAAGAAAAAATGAAAGAATGGGGGATTTAAAGAAATAAAGTAGGTGTAAATAACAACTCTCTTAAAAATAACCACATAGCCCCCTTAAAGTTTGGAATAAAGTGCACCATTAGACCCGTTAACAATTTAATAAAAAAAGACTAAAATACCCCTATATATAGGTAACATAAACATGTAAACTACGAATATTTTCGTCATTTGTTTGAGAGACAAAATGCACTTTAACCCCTTTGTACTTTATTCCATGTGCAATTTATCCCCCTTAAATTTAAAATGAGTATATAATCATTTTATGTGTTGTTTCACATTTACTATTAAGTTAGACAGAATATTTAATAATATACTTCAATTCACAAATCATAAAAGAGTTATATAATTATTTTCAAATAAGATAGAATAATCCGCACATGGACAAAAGCATAAAGGGGCCAAATGAAATTTGCCCAAACAAAAAATACCTAAAACAAAAATGTAATTTTTGAAAGTGAAATGATCATACTCAAAAACTGTATGTGGAAGCTTAAATCCAAACAAAGTTAAACAAAACAATTGATGATATTTAAAAAAAAAAAAAAAGAAATAAAAAAAGAAATAAAATCGTTTTTTTATTTTTAGAAATAATATAAATAAATAAAATATATTTGAAATCACCATTGTTTTAAAATTTGGGTATTTTTGGATAACTTTCCAAAAACAGTATTCCATATCATTTTTCTTTATGAGTTTGAGGCTTCTCTCGCGTTGTCATTTCTATTTGAGAGACCTTTTGGACTTGGTAAGCTCATTTTGAAACTGATTTCAGTAATTCAAACCGTTCACTTTTTAATACTAGTTGAATAAAATATTTTTAAAAAAAAATTACGATGATTGGAAATCAGTAGTTATATGTTTGAATCATATTTGTTTTTTTTAAAATAAACTACATATATAATTTCAAGAATAATCATCCATTTTTGTAATACAAATTTGATTCAAACTTATAACTACCGATGTTCAATCATCTTAACTTTTGTATAAATATTCTACTTAACGAATCTTAAAAAATTAACGGTTCAAATCTCCAAAATCAATCCCAAAATAGACCACCAAACTTAAGCATTCTTTCAAATTAAAATGACCAACTTAAAATAAACTAAACCCTTGAAGACAACTGCAATTTTTCTAAAACAAAATTACCCCAACGATAAAGGTGTGAATTCCAATGTATGTTTCGAGCTCGATCTTCATGACCTCCCCAACTGATTGAGCTAAAGTTATTGCATCACAAAAAAGTATAAATAAATGAATAAAATCAACCCCACGTGCTCTAGCTCATTGAATTAAAGGGCAATTGAATGAAACTAATTATAAAAATATGAAATTGCAAATGAGTACTTTTTTTTTTTTTTCCTTGGGTGCAGTGTTTGTGTTATGAGACAAGTGAAAAATGTAACATCACTAGTCGTTAAGCACAAACCGTACTCGTACATAAGGCTGCAAACGAATTTAGTTATGAGTTAGGTTCGGCTAGTTAAGTAAATAAACAAATTCAAGTTGAACTTTTAAACTTGTTTAATAAACAAGTCGAACTCAAGCACAAATAAACTCAACTCGTTTATTTAAATGAAGTAAATAATTTAATTTTTTTTTTTAAATCCATTAATCCTGCTAAACAAACCGGAGCTAACAGACTTTTCTTATTACCATCCATCAAATTCAAGGCTATTATGACTATGAACAATGTAGTATTAATTTCGAAGACATTTTGAAAAACTGTTGCACAGATATTAGCTTTACAGTGTCTCAATTTTTGTCAAAATCGTTGGCTGTAGCCAGGAAAAAGGTGGCAAAATCGAACTTTTGATCTCTTAATAAAATTCAAGGGTTCTAGCCAACCATGTTAAATCGCAGTTGGTTTAGCTAATGGATTTTTGAGAAAACAAATCAAAATGTTTAAATCTAATTGTTTTTCTTCTGTTTTTAATCAAGAGGAAGGAATTTGACCGAGTCTCGTTGACATCATACAATGGATATGCATAAAAGCAAATTAAGGGGAGAAAAAATAAGCTCCACACCATGCCAATACCTCAACCAGCTGCATCCATTATATGATTCTGATCTGTGCTTTAGACAAAGGCATCATACTTTTTTTTTGTTGAAACATCCTACTCATCATACTTGCCACAAGAAGAATAAACTTTGAACCTTTCAAAAATCTGCAGTCCAAGAATTACATGTAATTTATTTCTAGTGATTAGAATATATATATATATATATATATCAAAATTATGTCTCAGAGAGAGAGAGAAAGAGAAGTATTTTACCCTTGATTTGGAAAAACACAGCTTTGTAATCCACTCACATCCCAAAATAAATTACAGGAGGAATCCTTTGGCCTATTATATCAGCTGCCAAGTATGAAAAGCATTGAAAACTGTTAGTAACTTGATAAGATAGAATGATTTCCATAGCTAAAATTCAGGAAAAAACAATACTTGCCTTGTTGCTGCTATAAAAAAATAGAAGGTGAAGACTAGTGACCGTAGGGATCACTATCATTAGCAGTATAATACTACATTAACCTCTCTTTATTGCTTGGTTTTACTACCATTGCCATACAAGAAATCCAAAATTGTAGACCCCCTTGAAGTATTTTGTGAACTACTGCTTTCCTTATTGAAGTTGGAGCTGACATCAGGAGGACAATCCATCTTAATTCTAGACTCATACTCAGCTGCAAAAGCTAACGTTGACATGAGTGCCTTCTGTGCTGAGTTCCTCATGTTTGAAAGACGTTCCTTCTGAGCTGCATTTGGCATATTTGACCAGAGTGCCTTCAGCGCTGAACTTGGTGTGTCTTTACCATGCTCATCTGTCAATTGATCCACAGATTGACCTAAAGGAAGTGAAGAAGATAGTTGCTTCCATGATTTTGAACTGGGGATCTGACGTTTAGGTGCAGTTTCTCTCTCTTGAACAGATGACACAACATCATTATCCTTAGGATGATCTAATGGAACTTTGCCAAACGAAAGAAAGTTTATTCCTTGGGGTGGCATAGTAGGTGTTCTCTTTGGAATCTCACTCCAGATGGGTACCACGTCTCTTGTGATTTGGCCCGTCTGATTGCCAATTTTGAGCCCAACATCCTTCTTTGGAGATGAGGCAGCTTGCTTATCCTTGTTAGAATCACCAAAGGAAGTTGATTTTGGAATACCACAATCCTTTAAAGGAGCTTTGCCAAATGACAGGAAGTTTATTCCCTTTGATTCCACTGCAGCTGTCATCTTTGTAATCTCATTTGAGTTTTGCGCCATATCTGGTGTACCACGGATCATCGGAAGACCAACTTTGACACCACCAACACCTGTTATTGGAGATGATCCGACTTGATTAAGCTTACTTGGATTGTCCAGTGCCAATTTCCCAAACATAAGCTTGCTTATTCCCTTGGGTTGTGTCTGTACAGCACGTTTGAGTATAGTCTCTACCACATTCTGTTTAGTGTTTTTACTAGAATCAACCTTCTGATGAAAGGAATTATTCAAGTTCAATTGCTTCTCAGAATTTGTACCCCTTAGCAGGGATGAGAACTTCAACTCAGGTTTGGAAGCATTTGTAGTGCTTGGGGAACCTTCTGTGAGTGGCATCTGAGAGAAATATAGTTGAATAAGTAAGCCAAATAAGGCAATAAGTATGGCCACACATGCAGAAAAGCATAGCTAAACAAAGCCAACCAAAACTTGAAAAAAAAATAAAATCACCTCGTGTGAAAACATACAGTCAGGGCCTCTGCTGCAAAAACCGTTGGACAAATAATTGTTGCAGGGATACTTGGAGAGTTGATGATCAAATGGACAGTCATCGCCTTTCATGCATGAGTGACGCGCAAAATGACAACATGCCTGCAACACCAGAAACCATGAGAGAGAGAGAGAGAGAGAGAGATGCTGAGCAATAAAAATAACAACTTGACTTGATATAAGAATGATAAGTATGTTTCAGGAATGAATTTGCCATTCAGCAGTATGATTTATGCACATTGAAAAGTAGTAAGAAATATGGATGAATTACATTGGTGAGGGAAGTACACATGATTGAACAAGTTTAACTTCTGAACTACCACCGATTTAAAATCATTCAAAACTGCACATAATCCAAATCAAACACTTGGAATGAGAAGTAAATTAACTGTAGGTGACATGTAATAGTGAGTCATAGATATTCTTTCATCTCCACTTGGGGAAATTAGCAGTGTCTGGGACAAGCAAAGGTTGCGGAATTCTGTGAGGATCAAGGCAAGGACCGGGGCATGCTGTTCTAAACCAAATCTATTGCCATCCCTAGGTATTATCAACCATCAGAACCCTTGACAGTTGCAAATGTTCAGTCTACACAGTCAGCTATCTTTGTCATAATTATTTGGAATAAAAGAACAAAAACCTAAAAGAAAGGGAGAAACCTCCATGTAAAAGCATATCAATACAAGATTGAAGGCAGCATAAAGTACTTGCCAAAATGGAGACCAATGTTGATTCCCAAACAGAAATCAAATCTTAGAATTGATAAGTGCCGGCCCATCAAAGAGTGAAAGAATCCAATGTGTGGAAGAAGAAGAAGAAGAAGAAGAAGAAGAAGAAGAAGAAAGTGGAAGAATACATTGGGTGGAAGAAGTAGTTGCCAGAGAGACCCATCCTCTTTAAGAGCATGCGGTTCATAAAAATAAAAATAGATCTCTTCTATGAAAACAAGAAAGATTATTGGTCCTTGAGATTAGGGTGAGCCTCAGAAGGTGGCTCAACCATTAGGCCACTTCTCTTATCGCCTAAGGCCAACCAAGAACATTTTTAAAAACTCTTATTGCTGAAGGTCTCATTTTTTAAAAACTCACCAAAATAAGGCCTCATTTTAATGTTTAGCATAAGATTAGTGACCCTCCAAAGAGGAGGCATTCTTGCATCAAACTAGGATTCAGCAGCAAATGAGACCATGTACTAAAAGCCCAAAAATCCCTTTTTTTTTTTTTACTTTTTTTGTTTTTTTAGGGAGAGTGGGGTTTGAGTGAGTGTGTGTGTGAGAGAAGGAAAGAATCTTAACATTACTAAAGCTTAATCTTAAAGAGAAAAAAAAACTTGATACTTTTGAAGGTGCTTGAATAGTATAAGCAAAAGTAACCATTTTCAACTTACCAAACCAAAGATTCTCCAAAATTTCCTAATCTACACAGCATAAAGCCCCTCGTGAATGAGAGGGAGAGGGAGTTCACGAATGCCCCTTAGCAAGGGCCATTGTGTTAAGGGGAAATTTTCGATCCTCTTTTGATGTGAGAATATCAAAGAATGGTCACACCAAATTGGACATTGTGGTTGCGAACATCTAATAATCAATTCCAAAATTTGAATAACCAATGAGATGGTTTTGTACCAAGAAACTTTCTCCATTGTGCTCAAAATTGATGTCCAATTATGTCGCATACACACGAACAAGAAACACAGACATATTATATATAATATAACTTTTACATATTATATTAAAAAACATGTGATTTGATCGATTATATAATTTTTTCTACTTAATATAGAAAAAATGTGAAATAAAGCTCCAAAAATATTATCTATATAATCACTTTTATTACTTGCTTTCTCACTACATTTTTTTAAAACTCTTTGTTACTTTATTATTTCCCTATGTTAGAAGTTAAGCATGCATATTTGACGTCATGTTGATCAAGCATATGGTGCATTCTCCTTAGAAATGTTTTCAGATGCATGAGTTGCATTCCTAAGAATTCTAACATTGTTCTTTGTTGAAGAGTGTTAAAGAAGTGATGTCAAATTGTTAAAATTGTATCACCGAATGGTCTAAAATTATGAATTTTTATTTTTAAATTATAACACAATCATTAAGTGTGGGACACGTCACCAACAGTGCCAGAGAAATGTCAGTGTTTGACATAGACACGGCTCCTTGTTAGAGTGTTCATTCTACTTAAGCATCTCACTAGTCAATTATTGAACTAGGGTACAACTATAAGCAGACTATTAGTCAGAATGAAACAGAGCTAACTATTAATGGTAACAGAATGAAACAGCACTAATTATTAATGATACATCTCCAGTAGTAATCAACAATCAACTGTTCTTATAATAATCAGAATCAAATGCAATTGTTGAATCACAAGAGTGCTTAGTTAAAATGTTACATGATCATACCTTGGATTTTGTCAAGGGTATTGTATCATGTGAAAATTTGCACTTGTCACCCTGTGCAACAAAAAGAATAAAATAAAAGCAGTGTCATCAGTATGCATATAAGTGAGACTTCTAAGAAATTGAAACCTCCATCCTAAAATTAGACAAGACAAGAAAGACAGAACATAGATTACTATTACAACCTCTTGGCATCTTCCCTTCATATAATGACGGCAATATGATACTGTTTTTGGTTTCAATATTGGTTGGATTTTTAACCTTTTAACACCAAGACGTCTATTCTTTTCTGCTCGTTTGATTCTTTCCTTTTGCTGCAACATGCAAATCAGACAAATTAGTTACGCCCCCAAAAAAAAAAAAAAATGTAATATAGATTGAAACTGTACATGGCAACTATAATAGTATTGATCTACACTGAACTTGGTGTGTGATGTGTAAAATAAATATTCAAAGCATCATAAAGTACCAGATTTATTAAATGTAAGGGAAAAATTTACTTTGGGGCTCAAACTATCACACTTCTGTCACTTTGCACCTAAACTATCAATTTTAACAATTAACACCTTAAACTATAAAATTGTTTTACTTTGCTATAAATCATTGTTGTGTTACATTGTTTGATGAAAAATTTCACTTTGTACCTCAAACTATCATGTTTCAATTTAGTCCTTTAAGAAGCACAGAACTGTGTTACCTAGAATGTTGATTGCTCCAGTATGTGGAACAAGAACATGAACATAACACACCATGTGCTCTAAAATATGATAAGATAGCAGTAGACTTGTATAGAGCCGACCCCATTTGATGGGACTTAAGGCTTGGTTTGATTTGGTTTAGCAGTAGACTTGTATAGATTATACTATAAGAATTTAAGGTACTTTTAGAATAATTTTGTTTTAACAATTAAAAATCTAATAAAATGTCAAATTTTTTTTCCTTCCAATTGGTTTGGTAGCAACACATTTCTGAGCATTATAACCCATTTTTTTTTATGTTTTGTTATGTCAAAACTTCATTCACCTAAGATTTTAGTTTATTATATTTGAATTTTTTATTTATTTATTTATTTTTATTTTTTTAACTAGGGGAAACCTACAAGATATATTGGAAAAAACTTTTAGGATCGTTTTAAATGGCTAAATTTATCATTTTTAAATGAAAAATTATCATATTCCGCAACGTGCATTCCAAAACGTAATTTGCTAGAGTATTAAAGCTTTCTGGTAACTAGGATTGTTCAAAAACCAACTTGACCTGGTCAAACCGACCGATCCGACTCAATTCTACCCATCACAATCGGCTCAGAAACCGGTGGTCGGCTATGGAATTGAAAGAGTGCAAAAAATCATTTTCTTGGTCAACATATAGTTTTTATTTTATTTTTTATTTTTTATTTTATGTAGGGTATCCAGGGCCGTCTTACGCATACCAAACTAAGTCCTTACAGCCCGAACAAGCCTTCCGAAACAGGGTTTACGCCTTGCAGTTCGTGGCCTCAAGGTATACATTTGTTGGCTAAGGGATTCGAACCTAAAGTCAATATACAGCTTGGCGTAAATTACACCTGCGAGACCCGTACCAACCGATTATTATTGTATTTTTAATTTATTATCTTTACATGTGTAATTTTATTGGAAGATGGGATTTCTCCATAGTGGAACAGACATGCTTTCCTCTTCTTTCAGTTATTATTCATTTAATAATTTTTTTGTCAATGGCTATGTTACACAGAGTCTTCAAAATAAATCAAATATCCGCGTCGGATATCCAACACTTAAACAAGGGTATGGGATAAGTGTTGGATATTTTTCAATGGACACTTCATTATTGTATAATTGCTATAAATGTCTTTTCGACACTGTAGGTTACATATAGCACCATTTTATTTCACATATTTGATTAAATATACAAAAATATGACATTTTTTTGTCGAATTCACATACCCTTAAATTTATGGTTTGATGAGTCCGACCTCTAGATACATACCCACACCTAACACCCATACAAAAGTTCATGTAACATAAGTCAATGGAACATACCTTTTTTTCTCTCCTTTTCATTTATTATTCATTTAATTTTCATATTTCTCTCTCATTTATCTCTTTCTATCACATTTTCATCTCTCTTTGTATTTCACTCTCTCTCTACCTCTCAAACCAACAATTCACCGTTTCTCTCAGCCTCTCTCCTCTCACAGATTTCATGTTTTGTCTCCACGGATTCCTCCATTGCAACAAACCCTCACTTTTAGAACTATTCTTTCTCCCATGATGGGAAGTGATTGTGTGGTGGTGCTGATCGATGGTTGTGAGGTGTTGATCAATGGATGTGTGATGTTGATCGATGGACAAGATGGTGAAGAGTGGTGGAATCAATGGCAACGAGTGATTGTGTAGTGGTGTCGATCGATGAAGTCGGTGTGTCTTCCCTCCCTCCTATTTTCTTCTCTTTTTTCCGTCTCTCACAGATCTATATGTGAGATTGTGAGTTTGTTTAAATTTGTACATATTGTGTGTATGAGGTTTAATATTTGTTGATTTGAACTTTGAATCACATTAAGAGAAACAGAGAGTCTAAGTTATAATTTGAACTTCTCAACAACTGAATGGTTTGAGGGGGTCGATTTTGAATAAGAAGGCGGCCAACAGTGGGTGAATGGTTTCCTAACCAGATGGTGTCGGTTCAGTTGACGCGTCAAGGGCGAACCCGAGTCAATCTGACCTATGAACACCCCTAACAATGCACTTCTATAGAAGAGGCATGCATGTTGGACATAACACTCTGCAGACACTCCTAAAACTCAAAGTGTTTTAATTAAAATTTTAAATTCACAATACTAAACACTTCACTGACACTTCTAGAATACTCTGCCAATACTTCTTGGTCCTTCCGAACACAACCTATATGATTAATCTCTTCATAGTAACGATGTTCTACATTCTTTAGAATGCAACTTGTTCACGTTAAATATATTTCAAAACATATATAAGGTGAATACATCACATGTATTTCAATATGCTGCAATTGTTTTTACATTCTTTATCATGTTATTATAATGTGAATGATATCTTAATATTGAAGTTATGAAATATAACCAAACTAAACCAAACCAAACCAAACCAAACCAAGCCTTAAATCCCATCAAATGAGGTCAATTACATGAATCTTTCTTCTCCATGACTCTATCAAAGGCCATTTGGTTAGTCAAATTAAGGAGATTCATATATCTATTTACTACACTAGCCACATCAATCTAGGTATGCCCCTGCTCCTAATACTTCCCTCTACCGTCACTGTATTGCATTTCGTCATTACCACCTCTATTAGTCTCTGTTGTATGACCAAACTACCTTAATCTATTCTCTCTCGTCTTATCTTCTATCGGTGCTACTCCTACCCACTCATGAATATACTCATTCATAACTCTGTCTTTTCTAGTCTTGCCACATCTACCTTTGCATCCCCATCTCAGTAACACTCATCTTATCTACATGTTGTTTCTTAATTGCCTAACATTCTGTCCCATACAACATCGCTGGTTTAATAACCATTCTATATAACTTTCTTTTTAATCTAGTGGGTACTCGTTTATCGCACAGTATCTCGGACGCACTCCTCCACTTAAGCCACCCTGCCTTTTCTAGTCTTGCCACATCCACCTTTGCATCCTTATCTCAGCAACACTCATCTTATCTACATGTTGTTTTATAGTTGCCAAACATTCTGTTCCATACAACATCGCTGGTCTAATAACCATTCTATATAACTTTCTTTTTAATCTAGTGGGCACTCGTTTATTGCACAGTATCTCGGACGCACTCCTCCACTTAAGCCACCCTCCCTTAATTCTATAGACTATATCTGCTCCAATCTCCCAAACCGTTGTGATAAACCACCATAAATAACGAAAAAGTTCACTCTTAGGTAGTCCATAATTCCCAATCTTCACTTCTCCTCTGTTTCTATTGTTACTATTACTAAAATTACACTCCATGTTCTCTGTCTTAGTTTTGGTTATCCTAAATCCTTTAGATTCAAGTGCTTCTCTCTAAGTCTCCAACTTAGTATTAACTTCTTCTCTAGTCTCATCCACTAACACAATATCATCTGCAAAAGGCATATACCATGGCACATCATCCTAAATATTTCTCGTCAACTCATCCATAACTAAAGCAAAAAGATAAGAACTTAAGGTTAATCCTTGGTGTAACCCTATATTAATTGGAAATTCACTTGTCTCTCCAGCCAGCAATCAAATAGTGGTCATCACACCTTCATATATGTCCCTGATCACATCAATGTAGCATTTTGTCACCCATTTCTTTCTAACACCCACCAAATTATATCTCGAGGCACTCTATCATATACTTTCTCAAAATCGATAAAAATCATATGAATATCTATTTTTTTCTCTTTATACTTTTCTATTACTCTCCTCAAAAGATAGATCGCTTTCATTATTGATCTACCGAGCATAAATCCAAATTGATTCTCTGACACCTCTGTTATATTTCACAATCGACGTTCCATCACTCTCTCCCACACTTTCATTATATAACACATCAGCTTGACTCCTCTGTAGTTGTTACAATTCTGGACATTTCCTTTATTCTTATAAATTGGCACTAAAATATTTTTCATTCACTCCTCTGGCATTTTCTTAGTTAACAAAATTTTACTAAATATCCTAGTCAACCAAGAAACCCCCTTCTTACCTAAAAATTTTCAAGTTTCAATAGAAATATCATCAAGAATAGTCACACAAAAAGGTGGGTAAGGCTTGAAACCATGACTATAGGTTTAAGGTAGGACAACTCATACCACTTAAAGCTAAGTTATGAAATATATGACTTTTTAATTGGTGCTATGTTTTTCTTTCATTACATTTGAATAAACTACTCATATATTTGACATATAATAAATTTATAAAAATATAAGGCACATTGTGTCTTCATTTTTTGAAAATCACCACATCCAAGTGTCTGTGTCGTGTCACATGTTTGTATCTATGCTACATAGCTTTTTTTAACACCCTAGTCTATTAAAATTGATCCACTTTACCCCAAATCATTAACGACATTACATTTTTTTATAGAAGACCATATGAATCGGTTGGAGAGAGAAGAGGGCCCTTCTCCAACCAAATCTATAGCAACTACAAGGGAAAGACAATAATGCTGCAATTTGTGTATTTGTGGATGAATCGTTTAGAACCTCCAAATGACTTCATCTACTTCCATTTTCTCTCCTTTCAAGCTTCTATATCTTGTCATGCTTTTCTATCCTCACTTTGTTTTGTCATAAAATTCGGTTTACTATTAAACAATTTAAAGGTAGAGAAGATGAAGTTCATTTACATGTGCACAAAACTGGTATGGATTTAGTGCTACTTGCACTATCACTCGTGGCCAATTCATGTGACCTTACTTAAAAAATTACAAGGTCGTTATCGATTTAGGGAAACATGAATCAATTTTAATAATTTAAGGTGTTAACTGTTAACTATTAAATTTGATAGTTCAAGGGCTAAAGTTTAAGTGACACAAATGTGACAGTTCGATGGGTAAAGTAAAGTTTTTTCATCAAACAATTCTACCACTATCAATGCCTTTGGGCAAAGTGAAACAATTTAAATAGTTTAAAGGGTTAATTGTTAATATTGAAAATTAACAATATTTTAAAGGGCACAAGTCTAATATTTGATGGGCATAGTGATTTTTTTTTGAGATTTTTGGTGAGACCCCCTTTTTTGGACCTTTTTTTAAGATAAAAGACAACTTAATGAATTCTTCTTCAAAAAGTACCTGAGTAAGAGAAGCCCAGCTCAATAAGGACATTCTATAATTTGTTTTTTTTTTTTTACCATATTGCCCTCATATATATATATATATATATATATCATATATTTAAACAATCTCAACTCATACTTAAAAGGATCTTGAAGATGATCTACAAAGTGAAGATCATCTGCGAAATCCATGAAAACGATCTCAAAGTCTGAAGATTTCACCACCGACGATCTCACCCTTGGTCAACAATGCACGATCTCGCCGTCCAAGATCAACACTCTCAATTAAATGAGAGATTACGTTGCAAAGCTGTATAAATCTGTTGTTATTTTTTATTTGTTTTTGTTGATTTGCTGAGTTCAATCAGGTGTGTGCTCTATTTTTGTTTGACATGATGAAAGTAAAATTTTACTCTGGTTTGTGCTCTGTTTTTGTTTGACAGAATGAGAGTAAACTTTTACTCTGGTTTGGGCTCTGTTTTTGTTTGATAAAATGAGAGTAAAATTTTACTCTGGTGTTATCTGTTATGTTTTCTTAACATGCAAGTAAAATTTTACTTTATTTCAGAGTAAAATTTTACTGTATTTCAAAGGGTGGCATTCTTCTTCAGCAAGTTACTCCTCAATCATCTGAACAAATTGTTCGCTATCATTCTGGTGTCTGGAATAAAGCACAATTAAATTATAGTACTATTAAAAAAGAAATTTTATCTACTGTTTTATGTATTCAAAAATTTCAAGATGATATTCTAAATCAAAAATTTTTACTTCGTGTTGATTGTAAATCTGCTAAATATGTTTTAGAAAAAGATGTTCAAAATCTTGCTAGTAAACAAATTTTTGCCCGTTGGCAAGCAATTTTCAGCATTTTTGATTTTGATATTACTTATATACCTGGTTGTCAAAATTCCTTACCCGATTTTCTTACCAGGGAATTTTTACAGGGCGGTAAGGGATGAGTGCTACTCCACAAATTGCCTATATTAAAACCCAAATTACCCATTACCAAACCCTAATACAACAAGTTACTTTCCGAATCCAACGTCTCCAATTAGCCAGAAAAACTACTGAAAGAGCCCAATATATCAATTACGACCAGATTCAAGCTCGTCGCAGTTTACTTGCTGATTACCTTAATCATTTGCACTATTACCAGAATTATTTAGATCTTCTTTCTGGTTATTAATCATTGTTTTTTGTTTAAACAGATGTCTCGCCCAAGGCCTCCTTCCAAGGCTTTAGTCCTATCTTCCAGTAAACCTAATCAACTTATTGTCCCTCCTCCTTTGGAGTCAGTCACCCAATCTCATTCACTTGAAATGGTTAACCGTTACCAAACTCTTGGTAACATCTATCGTCCTGATTACTCATCTGCATTGGCTGCCGATCCCTTTGCATCCAGCCATTCAGTTTCAGTTACTCCATTTCCAGTTAACCCCATTAAACCATCCCGATCTGAGTACACCAATTCACATGTTACAAACCTGTTCTACAAAGAACCCAGTCACCCAAAAAATCAAACCATCAATGAAATTGCTAAATTCCATTTTGGCTCTGGGTGCCATTTCATCCTTTCACATCCAGAGAAAACCCTCTCCTATTACAAAGACATTCTACTCCACCACCATTCAATTTTGATCAAACCAATCCAGGATCGAACCTATGCTTACAAGATCCTATCTCATTCAATTTATATTCACAACATTGTTTCTATGGCTGAATGGGGTAATCCTAACCAGCTTCGTGATTTACCTGGTTATCCTATTCAATATAATTACCATGACTACGTTGATGCTTGGTTCAAGATTTTCTTGTACCAAAATGAAACCTTCAGTCATTCTTGGTTCATATCATTTGATCAAAAATTCAAATCTGAAATACCTACCTGGTTTCTGAGATAGTGGACTCACTATGGCGCCATTTCAAATATCCTCCCTGATGATCTCCGTGAAATAGTTAATTATTTTGCCTCTGTTTATCCATTTACTGCTCATCAAAGACAATTTCCATTATTGCTCATCTTTATATCCAAATACAAAATTCTATGGATATTTAAATGGCAATATGGGATTGATGATAACATCATCATTCGCCAACACACAGTCAAATGGTGGGTAAAGTTCAATGTGCCCAGAATTCTTGAGATTGTTCAAGAAGAATTCCCACCTGATCAGTATGCTCCAACTCCTGCTCTTGCTAAAGCCCAGCAGAACCCAACTGCTGCAATTACTCAAGGAAGTCAGCCCAGTCTTCCTCCGGTCAACCTTGGAAGCCCCTCATCCAGTGGTTCCAAGCCTAAATCATCCAAGTCCAAGGCAAAAGCTGTTGCTGCCCAGCCAGCCCAATCAAAGCCCAAATCAACGTCCAAGGTGAAGGCAAAAGCCCATTTCACCTCTTGCTCAGCCCAAAGTCAAGTCCAAGATTAAATCCAAGTCATCCAAAGAAGATATGATCCAGTTAGCCCACCAACTTTTGAATCAAGCTAAAACCCAATCCACCGATTCAGACAATTCAGAAGACGGTTCAGAACATGCTAACTCCTCTGAAGAATCAACTAATCAATGTTCAGGGCCAGAGTTTCAAGATGCCCAGGATCCATTTGCATAATCAACATTGGATTCCATATAGATACAAATTAGCTTCAGTCAATACTCTTTTGAGAAAAACTGCCAATTTGTATTTATATTGATTCCATTATTCACATGTTCCACCGAAAGTGATGAATAGTAAAAGTTACTGTTCACTTTTACTGTTCATCGTCACTATTCACCTAGTCAACTTTTGTTTAAAGCTACTCAACTGATCAATCAATCAACCGAAAGCAACCGACAGCATCTGCTTTACCTCATGCGCTGCCAGCTGCTTTCATCAGTCAAATGCTGCTTTTCTTAGTAAAATTTTACTGTATTTTAGAGTAAAATTTACTCTGAATTGAAAGTAAAATTTTACTGTGTTGTTGAATGTTCGTCTATGCAGTTTCTGATTTATTTTCTGGTAAAATTTACTCTGAATCTTCAGAGTAAAATTTACTCTGAATCTTCAAGTAAAATTTTACTTTATTTCAGAGTAAAATTTTACTGTATTTCGGAGTAAAATTTACTCTGAATTGAAAGTAACATTTTACTGTATTGTTGAATGTTTGTCTATGCAGTTTCTGATTTGTTTTTTAGTAAATTTTACTGTGTTTCAGAGTAAAATTTACTCTGAGCTTAAAGTAAAATTTTACTGTGTTGTTGAATGTTTGTCTATGCATAAGAGAATAAACTTTATTTTTCATTAACCAGAGTAAAATTTTACTGTTGTGAAAACAGAGTACATACTAGAAAAATGAATTATAGTCGAATTTTACTTTAGATTTATGAACAAACAAACAAAAAACTCTCGATTTTTTATTGTAATATATCAATTTATCATTTTTTTGGACATATATGAGGTCATTTTATCTCAAATCTGAAACTATTGATCTCAAACATGAGTTCATAGGCATCAAATCTGAGATGGTGATGGATTTCAATGGACGATTTCAAGATTTCGATTTTGTGAGATGGATCGAAAATGGAGATCAAAAGGGTTTAGGGCTTAAAAAGAGAGAAAATAAAGGGAAGAGAGAGGATACCAGTAATGTGGAGATAGAAAGGGAAGAGAAATGGTTCAGCAAGGGTTTTGGATTATATGGAAGGGCATTTCAGCCTTTTCATCATATTTTTTTATTTGAGGGACTTTTGAAACTATTATTTTATTTGGTGGGCTTCACACAAAAAAGCCCCCATAGAAGGGGCTTTTCACCAAAAATCCCTTTTTTTTTTTTTTGTTGTCAAAATGTGTTTTTCTTACACCATAAAGAAAAAACCTAGATAAGATACAAAGTTCAGCCAAAGATTAGAAGTATATAAAGAAACAAATGTATACCTTTTTCTTTGCTTTGTTTTCCTTGGTTTTAGGACCCCGCTTTTTCTCTTTGTGAACACCAGCATCCTGTTATAGATAACTAAGTTCATACCAGATCAAATATATATAGACCAAATGTAACCACAAAAAAGAGGGTTATCTATCTAACAGATGTCGCATAATGATTCAGAAAACAATTACTATAGCCTAGGCAGAGAATCATAGCCACAACCATTGTTGCACTCAAATAAAAATCAGATCAAAGTTGAGAACTCATAAAAAAAATCTTATTTTTGGTTAAAGAAATATAATTCTAAGCAATATAAACTCAATCCAACAATCTATGGTGCTCAAAAAACTAGTACTAATCTTTTTGGGTTGTGTGAGTAAAAGCATATATAAAGATTTGAGGTATTTTATTTTTCAAAATTTTCACTAAAGTCTCATTGCAGCAGATGTATATGTGATCGTAAGCACAATAGGGAGTTAGTTAGCCATCTTCTTATTCATTTGGAGGTGGAGTAGGATTTATAGTCTTTGCTCCTCCTTATATTTGGTGTGGAATAGGTGTTTCCTGTAAGGGTGAGGAAGTTCTTCACTCTTGGAGAGGTGCTTGAGTGGGGAGGAGGAAAGCCTGGTGGTTGGTTCCTTTTGCATTGATGTGGTCAGTGTGGGGCAAACAAGATAGAAGATTTTTTATGGAAAGGAATACCCTATTTAGATTAGTTTTTAAAAAATAGATTATAGTATTTTTTCTTTGAACTTTTCGGGGATTGTCAATCCGTCCTTCAGCCAACTTTTGGGATTTTACAGAGGGCTTTGAATAGATTTTGTTGTATAGATGAGATCTATGATGTACGGAGGACACGGACACAGGACGCAACACGGACACACAAATATGCTAATTTTCAAAAATTAGAGGACACGACACGCTAATATTGGTTCCTAAAAAAATTACAATAATAATAAAATTAATGAACACATTACCTAAATTTGTTTAATAAAAATTGATTTTTTTCAAATAAAAATAATTTATTTTATAAATTTTAGTAAAAACATGGATATAAATAATAAAACAAAAGAAAACAAAAAAGAAGAGGAGAGAATAAAAAAGGAAAAGGAGACAGAAAAGGGAGGACAGAGAATAAATGAAATCAGAAGAAGAGAAGAGAAGAAAGAGAAGAAGACGAAGACAGATGAAGACAGAAGACAAGAGACAAAAGAACAGAGAAGAAGCAGAGAGAAGAACAGGAGGTTAGGGCTTGTTCTCTCTGTCCTCGATTTGTCTCCCTCTTCCCTCGATCTATCTCCCTCTCTCTCCCCTCGATCTATCTCTAGCTCTCTCTCTTTCTCCTCTCCAACAGTTCTAGGGCTTCTTCGATCCACCTACATGTCTGAAACGTGTCCTCGCGTGTCCAATGGCGTGTCCGACTGAAAAAATTCCAAAAAAAAGGGGGACACGTAAGGGAGAGTGTCGGACGCGTGTCGGACACTCATATGCAGGCCTCAGGGACACGTCCATGCTTCATAGGATGAGATAGTTTTCTTATGTATACAGGTTGCACCTTCTGCCAAATAGAACCCGTAGACACCAAGTCAAACAAACTACTTTATGGCTAGACTCAAAAACCAACCCAATTTCAAACTTTATGAAAATCAGATAATAAAATAAGAAGGAAAATTTACTTATAAATCCCATCTTAGGGAATGATGATCCGTTTAGTCTCAAGAATTTTCTTATAGACCAATTAGTCCCATCCCATTGATTTTGAAAATGTAGATTTAATATATTATTTGGAAATTAGATTTACGGTTATACCATTATTTCTATTATTTTATTTTATTTTATTTTATTTTTTTTGTGTGTGTGTGTGTATGTGCGCGCGCGCACGCTAGAAAGGTAAGATACACAACATATGGGAATCAAATTTGGGATGAATTTTTATATGAGAATTTTTTTTATTTGGAATGACTTGAAATATGAGATTCTTCAAACATTTCCAAAATGATGCGAGATTCTTCAAACATTTCCAAAATGATGCGGGATTCTTCAAACATTTCAAAAGAAGTACACAGCTTTGGGAAAATCTATAATTTCAAACTGTAACACTCCAATGTAATACTCCAAAAAAAACTTCTTAATATGCTTTTCCCAAACGTAACACTCCAAAAAAACTCATTAATGTTACACTCCAATGTAATACATAAAAAAAAACTCCTTAGTGTACTTTTCCCAAACATAACATTTCAATGTAACACTCAAAAAAAGGATGTGTAATTCTTCAAACCATTCCAAAAGGAGTACAAAAATTTCTTAGTAAGTTTTGGGCAAATGTATAATTTCAAACTATGAGCGCTACATTTGGAAAAAATACAGTAAGAAGTTTTTTAGTGTTTTTGTGTTTGTTACATTGGAGTGTTACGTTTGGGATTATATTAATTGGAGTGTTACGTTTAGGAAAAATATACTAAGGAGTTTTTTTTGTATGTTACATTGGAGTGTCCATTTGGAAAAAATGCACTAAGAAGTTTTTTTTTTGGAGTGTTATGTTGTTATGTTTGAGAAAAGTACATTAAGGAGTTTTTTAATGTGTTGTATTGAAGTGTTATATTTGAGTGTTACGTTTTTGTTCATATTTGTTCCAGAATGAGAGAAAATCCAAAACATCTATAGTGCGGATTGGCCAACTGTGTAATTTCACATTTGGAGAAACCCACTTTTATTGTTTAAAAATTAAACAAAAACATGTAAGTGACTACTTTTGTGTAATTTCCACTTTAATGGGACCTTTGGGTTCATATAAAAAAGGGAGGACTAAACAATTTACAAGATCACATTTTGGAATTTATTATCCAAATAAGAAAGCATAACTTAATTAAATAAGAAACTGAACACTCTTAAAACTTACGCCCGAGATAAAAATCTCATTATATAGCATCTTAAATCATTTTGGTGGGACTCGATTGTCTACTTGTCGCACCCAAAATTTAACAGTCAATATTTGATTGCATAACTAATCGATTTTGATTGTATCATCATCCAAGAAAAATAAATAGATAAATAAATTAAATAGATTTCTGAAATGGGCACCTATAATTGAGAAGTGTCAAAAGAGGTGTGCATCTTGGAAAAGGAGATTTCTTTCTTTTGGTGGTAGACTTACACTCATCAAATCAGTTTTGTCCAGCTTGCCAATATATTATATGTCTCTCTTCAAATTACCTAAAGGTGTAGCAAGAGCTCTTGATAGAATCCAAGCTTCCTTTCTCTGGGGAGGCTCTAATTTGAAGAAGAAGAAACATTTGGTGAAATGGGAAGAGGTAACCAAGAGTAAAAAGCAAGGGGGTCTGGGGGTAAGGAAGGTCCGAGATTTTAATGATTGCCTTTTAGCAAAGTGGTGGTGGAGATTTGCAACTGAAACCAAAGCCTTATGGAGAAGAACCATCTGCTATAAATATGGAATCTCTGGTGGTGGATGGTTTCCCAGTCAGAAACTTGAGGCTAAGTACTCTAGGACTTGGCTGGACATATTGTTTGTTGCTGACTGTAATCACAGTCTTAAGGATTTTTACGCAACTAATTCAGAGGTAATTATAGGTAATGGGAATAGAGTTAAATTTTGGAATGATGTGTGGTTTGGGATCAGAGCAATTTCAGAAGATTATCCCAGATTATACAATCTGTCAATTGATAAACTCATTTCTTTGAAGGATTGTATTGAAGAGAAACGAAATTCTGATGGATGGAATTTGAGATTCAAAAGACCATTATTTGCTTGGGAAGAAGAGGAGGTTAAAAGCCAGTATACTTTGTTGAATGCAGCCTCCCTGTGTTGAGTAACCATGATGACTGGCTCAAATGGAAGGCTTCATCATCTGGCCAATTTTTGGTGTCTACACTTTACAAGAGAAGTGACTCAACAACTGGTATGTATACTCATATTCATGATTTGCTTTGGAAGAACATCTCTCCTCCAAAAGTCCAATTCTTGGGCTGGTTAGTGTGAAAGGGTAGGATCAAAATTTCTACTTATCTTCAAAGGCTTGGTGTGCTTGGAGCCAATATGAGCAACCTATGTATTTTCTGTAACACTGACTTGGAAACAATTGATCATGTGTTGATGGGTTGTCCTTTAATTTGGAAGGTTTGGTCCCATTTGATGAATTGGTGGGGAATTTACTGGGCTATACCAGGTTCTTTGGTAGGATTGTTGGAATGGTGGGCTGGCTTTAAGTATAAAAAGTTGGAAGCATGATTGTGGAAAGCTTTGTTGCTGGCAATGGTGTGGTCTATTTGGAAGCATAGGAATGAGTGTAAATTCAATAACGCTCAGCCAAATTTTGGTCAGTTGCAGGAACTAATTAAAGTTAGAGTGGCCTTGTGGGTTAAAAGCAACGTTGAAGGGATTTGCTACTTAGTACAGGATTTTGTTTCCTATATCCAACAAATTAGAACCCCATCAAAGGATATTTAATGATTTGCATGGGTTGCAAAGTTAGTCTTTGGGTGGTGGCAGGTGCATCCTTTTGTTTTTGTCTGCTGCTTCTTGACTTCTCTGTTTTTTTAAGCATATGATTGTGCTCATATTTCGGTGCCAACCTAGTTGGGATTGTTTTGTGTAGCTATGACGCTATTTGCACCCACCTCCCCTATCTCTATTGATGTAATTCCTCTTTGTTTGTTGGCTTATGGCAATAAAGATTTCCCTTATTTTGCTGATCCAAAAAAAAAAAATAGATTTCTGAAAGCAGTAAAAGGAATTCCAGGATGATTGTTAGTAACTATTCCTCTATAAGGTGAATTTTTAACTATGCTAGCAAAGTATCACAATGATTGCTCTTCTTTTTCCTAATTTCACTCTAAAGCAATGTGAACATCATTTAAAGTTCGTCAGAAGGGATTATGGTCTGTTGAGTGCCGAGGCTTTTCAAAAAACAATGGTAGGAAATTGATACTCTTTGCTTTCCTTTTATTCTTTTCTTCTTTTTACTTTCTAATTTTTTTCCTCTTATGAAAGATGGGAGGGGGTTGAACCTTTTTAGCATATTGGTTGACCTTGTCCATTTCCACATATGCACTTGTGCTTGTGACCGTGTGGCACGTATGCACATGTCAGAGAGATAGAGGTACCGGCATCAGCTATTCTGGTTTTCATTGGTTTTCCAATCAACTGCCTCATAAAGGCCGCGGGTTTAAGCAGCTAGGCATATTTCAACCAAATTTACAACATCTATTTCTGAATGCAAGAGCAGAAACTCCATGCCAAAACATTTGGTGTTTATCACGAAATACAATTCGAATAACTACGGTCATAAGTAAGAATTATGGTCAACTCTACTGAAGGAAGCCATAAAATACTGAAAATATGTAGAAGTTTTAGACTCTGCTTAACAAAATATCATGACGATCCCAGAATTACTCAGATCCACTGCACCATATTAAGGAATGAACCATAATCTTCTTCTTTATTCCATTATTATTACTAAAACATCAGGGTGGAAAGCTATAAATTGGTGGTTTTTTCTTTTTGTTGGAAGCATGGAGGGAGGGGCTCAGCAAATCCTTTGAATAAAGGTGAGTAAAGGTCGCACCTCAACACATTATCACAGTGACAACTTAAGTAACCAACACTGAATGGCCCGTGCAGACAAATGTGTGAAAAAAAATTATCTTGCACCATAAGCAGTTAAAGGAAATTCACAAATCAAAATCATTCCTTTTCAGTGGATAAAGTGCTTTGATTTTTGGTCGCATTTTCCCTTGAGATTTTGCCAGGCACTGCTGGATGGTTGAACTCCTCAATAGCTCTAGCAGTTTGCTGCTCGTTTCTTACAGTTTCTATCACAGAGTTATACCCATGTGCCAGTTTAGCCTCACCATATTTCCCAAAAACAGCAATTTCCGACTTACACTCTATCTCTGGCATATTACTTAGAATTTTTAATTCTACTTCCTTACCCACATTATCAATTGTCTCCACAAAATTCTTATTAGATTTGGTATCTTCCTGATTTGCCACTTTCTGTTTCTTACAAGTAAATTGTTCATCATTACTAATGGCTTCAGAATTTTGCACCTCGTCCACCTTCTTTTCTAATGATACAGCGTCTTCAAGCAACAAATCCATTGATTGGTCATACACCCCAAAGTCCCCTGAAATTTCTCCTTCTTCAATCTCTTCATCATCAGTTACACGAAGAAGAGAATTTATCCCACCACAATCAGATACCCATTTCTCCAATTCCATCAGCTGCATTTCGTTCACTTCTTCCAACAAATTCCTCTCCACAAATGAACTTCCTTCATTATTCTCATCCAATCTTGAAGATTCAGCATAAACATCTACATCTAAAGACAAATCAAGAGCTTCAGTGACCTTTCAACTATAGTTTTCCTCGTCTAAATTTCCTGATTCCTCCATACAAATTTCTTGGGGACTACTTTGGCCTTCTTGGTTATCTATCAAAGAGACAACATTACCACTTGGATTCTTGTCCAATGTATTATTTACAAGTTTAATACCATTTTCCGGAACGAGTTCCTTATTTATCCTACTTATATGGTCAAACTCATATGTTTCCATTCTATCCTCGTTAACACATTCGTCACTACCAAAAAGTGTCGAATTCAGAGCACCCCTCTGAATTGACAAGATTTCAGACTCCATATATAAATATGGAATCTCTGGTGGTGGATGGTTTCCCAGTCAGAAACTTGAGGCTAAGTACTCTAGGACTTGGCTGGACATATTGTTTGTTGCTGACTGTAATCACAGTCTTAAGGATTTTTACGCAACTAATTCAGAGGTAATTATAGGTAATGGGAATAGAGTTAAATTTTGGAATGATGTGTGGTTTGGGATCAGAGCAATTTCAGAAGATTATCCCAGATTATACAATCTGTCAATTGATAAACTCATTTCTTTGAAGGATTGTATTGAAGAGAAAGGAAATTCTGATGGATGGAATTTGAGATTCAAAAGACCATTATTTGCTTGGGAAGAAGAGGAGGTTAAAAGCCTGTATACTTTGTTGAATGCAGCCTCCCTGTGTTGAGTAACCATGATGACTGGCTCAAATGAAAGGCTTAATCATCTGGCCAATTTTTGGTGTCTACACTTTACAAGAGAAGTGACTCAACAACTGGTATGCATACTCATATTCATGATTTGCTTTGGAAGAACATCTCTCCTACAAAGGTCCAATTCTTGGGCTGGTTAGTGTGGAAGGGTAGGATCAAAATTTCTACTTATCTTCAAAGGCTTGGTGTGCTTGGAGCCAATATGAGCAACCTATGTATTTTCTGTAACACTGACTTGGAAACAATTGATCATGTGTTGATGGGTTGTCCTTTAATTTGGAAGGTTTGGTCCCATTTGATGAATTGGTGGGGAATTTACTGGGCTATACCAGGTTCTTTGGTAGGATTGTTGGAATGGTGGGCTGGCTTTAAGTATAAAAAGTTGGAAGCATGATTGTGGAAAGCTTTGTTGCTGGCAATGGTGTGGTCTGTTTGGAAGCATAGGAATGAGTGTAAATTCAATAATGCTCAGCCAAATTTTGGTGAGTTGCAGGAACTAATTAAAGTTAGAGTGGCCTTGTGCGTTAAAAGCAACGTTGAAGGGACTTGCTACTTAGTACAGGATTTTGTTTCCTATATCCAACAAATTAGAACCCCATCAAAGGATATTTAATGATTTGCATGGGTTGCAAAGTTAGTCTTTGGGTGGTGGCAGGTGCATCCTTTTGTTTTTGTCTGCTGCTTCATGACTTCTCTGTTTTTTTAAGCATATGATTGTGCTCATATTTCGGTGCCAACCCAGTTGGGATTGTTTTGTGTAGCTATGACGCTATTTGCACCCACCTCCCCTATCTCTATTGATGTAATTCCTCTTTGTTTGTTGGCTTATAGCAATAAAGATTTCCCTCATTTTGCTGATCCAAAAAAAAAAAAATAGATTTCTGAAAACAGTAAAAGGAATTGCAGGATGATTGTTAGTAACTATTCCTCTGCAAGGTGAATTTTTAACTATGCTAGCAAAGGATCACAATGATTGCTCTTCTTTTTCCTAATTTCACTCTAAAGCAATGTGAACATCATTTAAAGTTCGTCAGAAGGGATTATGGTCTGTTGAGTGCCGAGGCTTTTCAAAAAACAATGGTAGGAAATTGATACTCTTTGCTTTCCTTTTATTCTTTTCTTCTTTTTACTTTCTAATTTTTTTCCTCTTATGAAAGATGGGAGGGGGTTGAACCTTTTTAGCATATTGGTTGACCTTGTCCATTTCCACATATGCACTTGTGCTTGTGACCGTGTGGCACGTATGCACATGTCAGAGAGATAGAGGTACCGGCATCAGCTATTCTGGTTTTCATTGGTTTTCCAATCAACTGCATCATAAAGGCCACGGGTTTAAGCTGCTAGGCATATTTCAACCAAATTTACAACATCCATTTCTGAATGCAAGACAGAAACTCCATGCCAAAACATTTGGTGTTTATCACGAAATACAATTCGAATAACTACAGTCATAAGTAAGAATTATGGTCAACTCTACCGAAGGAAGCCATAAAATACTGAAAATATGTAGAAGTTTTAGACTCTGCTTAACAAAATATCATGACGATCCCAGAATTACTCAGATCCACTGCACCATATTAAGGAATGAACCATAATCTTCTTCTTTATTCCATTATTGTTACTAAAACATCAGGGTGGAAAGCTATAAATTGGTGGTTTTTTCTTTTTGTTGGAAGCCTGGAGGGAGGGGCTCAGCAAATCCTTTGAATAAAGGTGAGTAAAGGTCGCAACTCAACACATTATCACAGTGACAACTTAAGTAACCAACACTGAATGGCCTGTGCAGAAAAATGTGTGAAAAAAAATTATCTTGCACCATAAGCAGTTAAAGGAAATTCACAAATCAAAATCATACCTTTTCAGTGGATAAAGTGCTTTGATTTTTGGTCGCATTTTCCCTTGAGATTTTGCCAGGCACTGCTGGATGGTTGAACTCCTCAATAGCTCTAGCAGTTTGCTGCTCGTTTCTTACAGTTTCTATCACAGAGTTATACCCATGTGCCAGTTTAGCCTCACCATATTTCCCAAAAACAGCAATTTCCGACTTACACTCTATCTCTGGCATATTACTTAGAATTTTTAATTCTACTTCCTTACCCACATTATCAATTGTCTCCACAAAATTCTTATTAGATTTGGTATCTTCCTGATTTGCCACTTTCTGTTTCTTACAAGTTAATTGTTCATCATTAATAGTGGCTTCAGAATTTTGCTCCTCATCCACATTCTTCTTTTCTAATGATACAGCATCTTCAAACAACAAATCCATTGATTGGTCATAAACCCCAAAGTCCCCTGAGATTTCTCCTTCTTCAATCTCTTCATCATCAGTTACACGAAGAAGAGAATTTAACCCACCACAATCAGATACCCATTTCTCCAATTCCATCAGCTGCATTTCGTTCACTTCTTCCAACAAATTCCTCTCCACAAATGAACTTCCTTCATTATTCTCATCCAATCTTGAAGATTCAGCATAAACATCTACATCTAAAGACAAATCAAGAGCTTCAGTGACCTTTCAACTATAGTTTTCCTCGTCTAAATTTCCTGATTCCTCCATACAAATTTCTTGGGGACTACTTTGGCCTTCTTGGTTATCTATCAAAGAGACAACATTACCACTTGGATTCTTGTCCAATGTATTATTTACAAGTTTAATACCATTTTCCGGAACGAGTTCCTTATTTATCCTACTTATATGGTCAAACTCATATGTTTCCATTCTATCCTCGTTAACACATTCGTCACTACCAAAAAGTGTCGAATTCAGAGCACCCCTCTGAATTGACAAGATTTCAGACTCCATACTGGTAGGATCAACTGGTTCACCACACACTTCTCCTTGGGTCGCTTGCCCCAATTCATTCTCAGCATTGTCTACTTATTATAAAAATAAATAAATAAATAATTCACCATTAAGCTGAAGTTAGCATAATTGATACTCAATTAAAACCTCCAATCATTCACCAAATTTTTCATCTAATTGGATTTCAAATTTAAGTAAAAAACTTGATTTGATATGAACTACTCCAATCCTTCCATCAAAATCTTTTAAAAAATTACCTTCTCAATCCAAATTTCACTTTTCATCAAATTTGATGGGAAAATAAAATAATCATCTCCAATGCTTCATCTTTTTAAATTTTCATCAAATTCAAATTTGATGAGAGAAATGACTCTCCCTTGATTTGATGAACATTTGATGAAAGGATAGGAGATGATTTTTGAATACTTTTTCATCAAATTTAAATTTGATGAAAGAAAAGGTGATGGATTGGAGATGCTCACGTATTTGTACTGTGGTCAGCTCTTTTTTCCCCCTTTTATACACTAAAATGAACTGAAATTTTGAGAGAATCAAAATCAGGATTCCAATGGTTTGAAAATAGAGTTAAATTTTGACAAAAGTGCAATAGTGAATCATTAACGCTCGAACTTAGGCCATGTTTGTTTGGACAGACTAGATTAGGTTAGATTAGCATTACCATGGCTAATAGTCATGGGACTATAAATCCTTTTGAATTGTGTATCCTATTATTGAGAGTTAGGATTATAAGGAGAGACTGATAGTCAACTTTGAATTGTGTATCCTATTATTGAGAGTTACGATTATAAGGAGAGACTGATAGTCAACTTTGACTAAGTACTCCAATTTATATCACACCCCTCTGTGGATTGAATAGTCTCATATGTGAGATATCAGATAGATTGTTAGTTCATACTTCAATTATTTAATCAAATATCGAATTAATAATTTTATTGGACTATTAGTATAATCACAAGCTGATGTCTACTCAAACAAACATAGCGTTATTGTATGATTTTGAGAGGAACCAATCAAAGAATACGAAAAGGAAAACACGAATGAATACCTTGTTTTGGACGCTCCTGTGGATGGGAATGACAAGTATGAGAGTCGGCATGGCAATGAGATAGAATTCGAACAAGTGTGAGAAAAGTTTCGCTCTTAAGGTGTCTTCTGCGATGAGGAGGGAAAGGAAAGAGAGAGTCTGACTGGTTTAGGGTTTCCAGGTGTGATTGCTCCATCAATCATTTTCAAAATCACCTTCGAAATTTGCTACTCGCTGCTCATATTTGCGGGCTAGGACTCTAGAGACTAGGCCCTCGTTTGTTTTGGGCTATAGGGAGGGTATTGGGACTAGTAATACCAAGGTATTACTAAAGTCCCTGTTTGTTTGCAGAGAAAGGGTTAATACCCTTGGAAGGGGGATTGGTAAGGAGGAGGTAGAGATGGTATTAGAAAATAGTGAGGGGATTAGAATTTTTTTTATTTTTTATATATTGGGAATTTTTTTTTAAATATAATGTTTAATTTTTTATATTTTTTTATTTGTTTTATTATTTTATATAAAAATAATTCAACAATTCCTCATTATTAATCCCCTCACTATCAATCCCCTCACTATTAATCCCCTCACTATCAATCCCCTCACTAACAATCCCCTCACTATCAATCCCCTCCATTCTATCTCCCAAAACAAACGGGCCCTAGAGGTGAGATAGTTTAGTATTACTGTAAGGCCATGTTTGTTTGGGTGGACATGAGATTGGGATTGGACTAATAGTCTAATAAAATTATTAATCCGATGTTTGGTTAAACAATTAAAGTACGGACTAATTATTTTAAACTTGACTATTAGTTAAGATAGGATACATAATCTAACGGATTCGTAATCCTAGGACTATTAGTCATAGGAATGCTAATCCAGTCCGCCCAAACAAACATGGCCTAAAGGTGAGATAGTTTAATTTAGCGTAAGGCCTAATAATTTTTTGATTTTTTAATTAAAATATGAAATAAAAAAATTAGTATATTTTGGGTAATTTTTTACTTTTTTACTAAAAGATATGTAAAAAATAAAGAGAAAAAAGAATCTTTAATTTTTTGGTGGAGGTTATAGACTTTTTGACTTTTTTAATAACTTTTTAACTTTTTGATTAAAATGCTAACTTGCCAAACGAGGCCTAAATTACACTTTGTCCTATATGCTTTTAAGGCAATGTTTGTTTGGTTTTTTAGGATGGAGAATTAGATTAATAATACATGGAATTTATTTAAAGATTATTTGATTGGAGATATAAGGGAGGAAATTAACTATCTTCTTGGACTAGAAATCCCCAATGCAGTAAGACTAACAAAATCATAGGAGCATTGGAATTAGAAATTGAGTGAAGGAATTAGTGAAATTTTAAATGATTTTTAAGCAAAAATTAAAAATTATGGTTCTGTTTGGTTTAGTTTTAGAATTGTGATTCTCCTTTTAGAGTTGTGATTTAACTGTGAATTGTAATTTGAGTTTTGAAAAGAGAAAATTTGTTTCGTTATGAGTTTTGAAAAATGTTTTGAAATGAGTTTTTGAATTTTGAATTTTGAAAAGAGTTTTAAGTTTTGAAAAGATTTTTGAGTTGTATTTTGAGTTTTGAGTTTTTGAATTTTGAGTTGTATTTTGAATTTTTTAGATTTATTTTTTAAAATATTAAAAAATGCTTAAGAATTTTTTTTATCTTTTAAATATATAATTTTTATTTAAATATTTTTAACTTTTTATTTTAAACATTTTATTTTATTTTGTAAATACTTTAATTTTAATATTTTAAACTCAAAATACAACTTCATACTCAAATTGTAACTAAACGTATAACTCAAAACTCAATTCAAAAATTATTTTCAAAACTCATAACCAAACATATAACTCTAAATTTTACACTACTTTCAAAACTCTACACTCAAATCATAACCAACACATAACAAAAAAATTAAAATATTTAAAAATATATTTATAAAATAAAATAAAATAAAATAAAAATTATATATTTAAAATAAAAAAATTTAAAAAATTAATATTAAAAAAAACACAACACATAAATGTATGAAATATATTGCATATTAAAATAAATAAATAAATACATATTTAAAATATAAAATATTTACCCTAAAAAATTAAAATTAAGAAAGTTTTTAAATATTTAAAAAAAATAAATCCAAAAAATTTCAAAATACAACTCAAAACTCAAAATACAATTTAAAACTCTTTTTAAAACCTATAACCAAACAAATTTTCTCTTTTCAAAACTCATAACTCAAAATACGACTCCACACTCAAATCATGATTCTAAAAATAATTTTAAAAAATAAAATAAAATAATTGAATTTTTTCTTTTAAAATAGAGTTTTGAAAAGAGTTTGGTTTTGAATTTTGAAAAAAGTTTTGAATTGAGTTTTGAATTGTATGTTTGGTTATGAGTTTTGAAAATTAATTTTTGAATTGAGTTTTGAGTAATTTTGAGTTGTGTGTTTGTCTATGAATTTTGAAAAGTGATTTGAAAATTTTGCCTTTAGAATCATGATTCCAAAGGTAAACCAAACACAGCCTATATTTTTTTCAGAAACACTCAAAATTAAAAATATTAATTTTATATATTAATATTATCTATAGTATTATTAATCTGGTGGTGTACAAACAAATAGTTTTTATCTTACATCTCCAACCTGATACCACAGCAATAATAATCTCCTCACTCAATCTCACCGTACTCTTTAGAGGTATTTTTTGAGTGTATTTTGATAATTTGAACCATTTATATTGGAAGGTTTGTCGAATGTATCATTCATATAAAAAATGAAGTTAATCTGATGTCGATAACCTCATGATCAAGTCTTAATTTTTTTTAAAAAGTTATTAAAATCATATTAACTGTTCATTTTTTAAAAAACAAATATGCTCTTATCATGAGGCTACAGATGTCCAATTTACTTTATTTTTTGCATGAATGATCTACTCGACGAACTTACAATATAAACGGTTCAGATCATCAAAAAAGACTCGGAACACCCCCTAATGGGTCTCATAGCAGTATGAGGCTACAAATGTCCAATTTACTTAATTTTTTGCATAGATGATCTACTCGACGAATCTTACAATATGAACGATTCGGATCATCAAAAAAGACTCGAAACACCCCCTTAATAGGTCTTACAGCAGCTTGTTGTGTCATAAGGCACAACAGGAACCCCAACTCTTATGTTTAGCCACTTTTTCACTTTAACTTTTCAAGTTTGTTTTTCTCTACTTTTAACCCGTCATATTTCAAGTTTTTCTCACTTTATTCCTAAAACTAATTTCTATTGAAAATTAGACAGAAAATAATACATTATCACTTACATGATATAAAAATGTTTTATTATCTATGACTCACACTTCTAACATGTACGGGAAAGAAATACACCTTCTCGTATAATCCTGTTGACTAAGTCCGCGCTCCTCCGTACGACGCCGCTTTGTCACCTGAAAACACAAACGTGAGCTAGCCGGCGGGTGTGTGCCGGAAACCTCTCCGATGCCTAAGTTAGCAAACTTGACAAATAGACAAAGCTCTTTGTATTCAGAAAACAAAGTTGTGTGTTGTGTTACCTCCTCCAAAGTGATGTTTGTGAGCTTTTATAGGTTTCGAGTGGCACAATCCTAGTAGGACTTCTACTTCTTCATGCAGAGTCCTCCTAGGATTCATACTCCTAAAGGATAATGCTTATCCTTTTACACCTCCCCCACTGCTTTAAACCAAGTGGGATGGTTTTTACCATGGCCGAACTATCATTTGACCGAAGTACCCATGGCTATGTATAGCCGCAGAATAAGCCGAACTAGTTCTTCCTTTCACTTCTCTTACGTCGGCTTCTCATGCACAGCATATGGCATGGTTGGACCGAACTAACAAATCGCGACCGGTATAACTCCAAGACCGGTCTAACTCAAAGATACCGCTAGACCGATCTATTCAGAATACATCATGACCGGACTAACTCTGAGACCGGCCTAGCTCCAAATTGCCCGGACCGAAGTAGCTTTACAATTCTTGAGCCGAAGTAACTTAATCTCTCTTGGGCCGAAGTAACTTTTCGGCCTTATTACCCAGTCCTTCGCATAGCTCGGCCCAATTTTCACTAAAATTACCCTCTCAATTGCCCCTTGAATTCCATCTGCATAGCATGTAGGATTAGCTGTTCATTTAGCGAGCTATAGTCCCCAAACCTTCCAGCCGAGCTACAAAAGTTTAGCTTATCCTGCCGAGCTAAACTTAAACCGAGCCACTCTCATCCGGTCATAATGTCTTTTCAATCACCAAAAACTGAATCGCTTTCTATTCCGTATACACGTGGCACGTTCCCATTCGCAGAAGGCAGCTGTCAACGCCGTCTTCGTATTTCGCAATTTTTGACAGTTCCCGCCTTTTCTCTCTCTTTCCACAAAACTATCATTCTGTCTATGAATCATCTACCTATTCTATTCATCTTTCTCTCTTCGTGCCTCTGCTTCTCCAACCTCTGAGTTCCCTGAGCTCGTGTTCTTTGTTGGTGTTGTTGCTCCCCTCTCCAGCTTCATCTTCTTCTGGTAAGCTTCCAAAAAATCTGTTTTGTTTTTCTTCTTTCTGCTTTTTATGGTTTTTGCAAAACATATTCTTTCCATTTGCTTTGCCCTGTACTTTACTGGAAAAACTTTACAGAACTCATGCGTGTATGCTATATCCTGTAGAAGACTAGTCTTTGATCCAAAATTATGTAGCAACCGAACTAGGATACTGTTTGTCCTATATAGGTAGATCACTTTAGTCAATAACCGAACTAGAACTTGTATAAATAACAGCAGTTTTAATAGGTTCCCAACTCCCGAATCACTCTGGCCGAGATAACATTATCGAACGAAGTTTGAACTCATTAAACTAGGAACCTCGGCGTTCAACCGAGCTAAGCCTTTGGGGCTAAGCCAGCTTTCCTAGTTTCTGAACCAAACTCAGAAAGCTGCCCCTAGAGGCTCAACCGAAGTAACAAAACTCATAGTTCAACCGATTTAGGCCTTTGGGGCTAAACCAGCTTTCTGAGTTTTTAGACCAAACTCAGAAAGCTGCCCCAAGATGATGAACCAGTCTAACAAAATTGTTTCCAAAGCCAGTATGCCGAGATGTTTGCCAAGATCTGGCTTAATAAGAACCCTGCTCAAACCGAGCTACCAAGCATTTTGTCGAACCGAGATAGAACCTGTCCACAAAGTCGAAGTAGGGCTCTTTTACCTTGCTTTTAATTTGTAGCACGGTCCAA